AAAGTGGTTAAAATGTTGACTCATGTTAACGCGCGATGGCAAGGATGTTGATTTCACTTAGAAAGCAGCAAAATGTCAATTTCACGCAACATAAAAGCTCAAAAATGTCGATTTCAGGTCAAAAAAGGTTAAATGTTGATTTCACCCAAATCGTCACTTAGCATGGTTTTGCACTCACCCCTTCAATTTATATAAAACCCTTGCTTATGAGTATTTACAGTCTGTTAACTCATACATGTATGTTGTATTGACTTCTAGTGACACTTGTGACAAAAGTTACTTTTACGAGCTTTATAAAAACCAAATTAGGGGGAGCCAAGTAAATCATTCCTTATTGTTAGAAAACTGAATTCCACAAGCAGAAACTCAACCAATAAAAGGTTCAAACACCTTCCTCCTTTCTCTTTCTGGCTTTGATTTCCATATAATTTTTAGAACCAACCCACTTTATGTTATAGAAAGAGTTATATGGACTTAAATGTATAAAACAGCATGAAAAATTAGCCCAGGCAGATACATTAGCCAGTACATGCATTGTCCACTAGTCATAAGAAAAACCTGCTTCAACTGACCTGCATGTAGAAATTTCCATTATTTTCCTCTCGTAAAATTCTGTAATGATGTATTCTTCCTTCATGCCTACAAAAAATCAAACCAGTAAAATTTAGTTATTAAATTACTGACAGTCCAACCAAATCAGGGTGGATATACTAAAATAATTTCAAACAAGAAGTGAAAAGTGAAAAGTAGATTTTCCTTGAGCCACTGTAACAGTGGTGCGCTTGTCTCAAGGCAGGGTTTTACTGTGTCTGTGTCTCTTAGTACTTGAATTACACTATTCTTTAAAAAATCACTTTTGAGTGCTACAAATGCACCAGAATGCACCTCAAGGCACACAAAATGTAAAACTTTTTTGAGGAAGTTACCTCAAACCCCCCTACATGAGGGGATGAGCCTCTCCAGCACCCTCCCCTACAAGGCCACTGCTATTAAAATCAGAACAGTGCTCCACTCTTCCTGCTACTTTATTTCAATTTGAAAACCCTTTTGTTTGTTTGTTTTTTTAAGTAACCTTAAGGGGGAGCAGGCTCTGGTGGATGGCATCTAATGCTGTTCATGACAAACCCAGCAAAGTGTAACTACATGATACCCTGCCACTATTGTTATCGTTTCTACTTGCGCATACATTTTTAAAGATCAAGAAACGCGCATGAATGAATTAACTCAAGTAGCAGGGTATTCGGCAGTTAAGCCAGGGAATCCGAGGGCATCTGACCACTGTGTATGAGCTGCCAAGAATAGTTATATAATTATGTGTGGCCTCATGAGCACTGTCATGAACATGCAGTTCCCATCAAAACTGCTGCCTGAAAACACCTCATATTTTCAAACCCCTACACTTTAAAGCCAAAAGTTAGGACAGTCACTGACAGTTTTAGCTTTACACACCACACACATGTGGATTTCATAATTCGTGTCCACCTAGTTTATTGGCTCGAGGTATCAAACTACCGGAAGTGGACTTGGATGATTTTTGGCGTTTGACCGCTGTGAAGAGGACTCGTAAAACACAGATAAAAGTAAAAATGTGAATTCTAATGTTCAAGGATACTCACAGCAGACATAACACATGTGCATTGGAGACACTTTCGCTGTCTCGTATAATAAAAGAGCCGTCTTTCCCTGAGCTCAACAGCAACTCCTCCGCGCGAAGCCTGCTTATGCTTGGATGGTGCCACGCAAATGACATCAGAGAAAGGCAGGAATGGAGCTATGTCACTTCCTGTTAGCTCTTTTTATACTTCTACGAGGTAAGGCAATATTGGCAAGCGTGCCACAAACAGCAAATACTTCGAAACTAACACAACATCATCCACTTCCTCGAACAAATTCCTCGAGTATTATCAGTTCCACGACCACGTGACCAAAAGAACCGAGGGAGTGAGGAATCTGGGGATGAAAATGAAGACCTCTGGGAAATTTTCATCCCCAGGGTCCATTCCCCCAGGAACGCGTGAACTGGCATTTTTCCTGCGGTGTACATACTTCATGGAAGAATGCCATATATGCATCCACCTATTGTTAATAATTAGTACTTGGTGTACAGCAACATATTATGTCCCCAGTTACTGTACTTGCTTGCTGTACTTTGCTTGCGGAGCGAGCGAGCAGCAACATAATCAGGATTTAAAAATTCATCACTTTTTACCAGAGTGCATTGTATTTAACCAGAGTGCACTACTCCATGAACAACACGAGGACGTCGAGCCGTCGTCCTTTTTCGCGTGGATTCCAGTGAGATAGATTAGTGATTTTACCTGTAAAACGATGTGAAGGAGATCGTACTTGACTTTCACAACTCTTGCTTTTGTTCTTAATGCAGTATGTGAAAGTTTGTAAATCTGGGCGATTAATTGTGACATCTTATTTTAAACTTATTATGTCTTTTCTGAGAGGTCTCGCCCCCTTGGTCGAATTCTTAAAGAAGAGAAATCGTCTCTACTAAAGCTTGTGGAATAATCAAAACAAACGAAAACCGTATAACACGTTAATTTCATACATGATCTATTTCTTTTCATCCAAACATGAATTTAAGCTAAAGCTTTAGCATTTTCACGCATCACGATGGAGGCGTCGACACAGTCTGTCAACATTCTAGAGACATTTAATACGTACCAGTACAGAATTTATAAGATAGATTTCTGCTCCTACAATTTCCACATCTTTCGATTTTCGCGATCTCGTAAAGGGGAGGTTGATGTGTATCGTTTTATGTGCAAACACTGTTCAGATCAGTCTGCGCTTTTTTGTCACGATCCCTTGTCACACGTCGCCATCGACGCGTCATCATGCATGAAGTTGTGGATGAATCACTGCGTAAAATGTATCACTATCAACAGAATGTGCTGCAGCATTTCTATCTTTTAAATACCCTAGTTTAAGAAATTATTTGCCATCGGATTTCCATACAAACACTGTAATTTCTGACACGTGCTACCTACCCGTCAAGGTGGCCTTCAAAGCCGTGAAAATTTTTCACGACCCGTTGGCGACCGTATTAACGGGGTCCCACTCACTGACCAGGAGATTCTCAAAAAAATATTCGATTACAGCGCAGACAAACCCTAAGAGATTTTTTAAAAACCAAAAAAGTCCAAGAATCTACAGAATCAAATTTCTGTCTCCGTCTCTCCCGGGGACTTTTATTTTATCATTATTATTTATTTATTTATTTATTTATTTATTTATTTGTTTGTTTGTTTGTTTGTTTGTTTGTTTATTTGTTTATGTCCTCTGTAAATATTTTGGTAAGGGTGTGCCGCAGGGATACTCAATCCTTTACCATACACTTAGCCATGATCAACTTGATTTTGCAACCCTATTCTAGACTAGGCTTCAAAAACCCCTACCCTATCCCAGGCTAGCTATTTTCCATGCAAAACCTTTATCACTACTGTAGTCCAACATATTGGACATGGAAAATAGTTTGTTTCACTTGGTCGTAAAAAAACACGATTATAAGGCGTAAAAAAAAGAAACGCGATCCAGTTTGGCATGTAATAGAAAAACGTTCATAAAACTACAGGGTGTCAAGCACTTTAGGAGTCCAAACATATAGCAATAAAGGACTCAACGACCTGAAAATACAGGACAAAACCCAAGAAAGAAACAAAAATATAGGTTGGACTAATCCGGTAGTAACTGGTAGGCCCAACGTGAGGTTCTTTATTTTATTGCGTTCACGTGGTGTAACGCAATCCTAATCCAGTTTGTTTCGAGAATTTTTCGGACGGATTCAGTCTCGTTCCCAGAGTCTTCGTTCCCCTTGACCAGCGGTCGGAAAACGAGAGCTCTGGGAGCAACCATTTCAGGCATGCGCCATAGATGTACACTGCGCAGTGAAACCGGATGAGCAGAATCACTAGAATTCGGTTATTTCAAAATGGTTACTCCCAGAGCTCTTGTTTTCCGACTGCTGGTCAAGGGTAACGAAGACTCTGGGAACGAGATTGGGACGGATTTGTTCGCCGATTTGGCACCCCCACAGCACGGGCAATTTACTATGGTTGGCCATTCGTTTCAAAAATTACGACAGGGTATACGCGGGTTTTTCTCTCGCGTATACTTGTTTACATACGTTACGTATGGGCTTTAAGCTCATTTATAACATAACTAAGGCAAAGCGTGTGCTCTGATTGGTTAATTTAGCGTGTACTATTTGCCCATGGGTGTACGCTGCTGACGTGTGTGCTAATGTTTGAGGTTTGTAATACATGGTGGTTTTGACAGGGCTTTAGACTTTAAGTTGTGCAACAAAAACTTCTGCTGCGACTGGGCTCGCGCTGTTCTTAGCTGCTGTGCAAAGTTATGGATTGCCCTCTAGAGTGTGTTCAACCGAAGGGGATGAAAATTAAGAGGTAGGAAGAACTATGCTATGGCACAGGGGATTTAATAGGGGAAGCAAAATTGCTGGGTTGGCTGTACACAACCAGTGAATTGAACGTCTCTGGAGAGAAGTCTTTATTGAAGTCGGTCAGTTCCACTACATTCTGGTCTACCAGATGGAAGAAAATGACATCCTGGAATCGAGCAGCATAATCGATCTGTTCTGTTTGTATTACATATTTCTTTCCAGAATTAAAAACCAGTTAAACCTCCTAGTTGAGGCATGGAATAACCATGCTGTACGCACAACCAATATGGGTGAACGCAGTGATTTTACAAGATATATGTAATACTGGAAATACTAGCTGTCAGGGACACGTTTGATGATACCACTCAACCAGATGAATTATCTGGTAAAGACCCAATAGGACGGACTTACACTAAAATCACATTCTGTTTCCTAAAACTCCCCTTGAGGTATTGATATATCATGGGCTGGACGACCCACTCTTCCATTAGAAGCTGATGCA